CCTGTGTAAACCCGAAGTTCCCCCCAGCAGCGGACTTTTACTCTCTCCACCTTCTCCCGTATGGCCAGCGGCGTGCCGTCGACTAAGCGTGCATCTATCTCCGGTAAACACCGACTAAGTGTCAGTTGCAGCTTCCGTGCGGTTGCGGTATTAACTAAGCTGTGACTTGCTCCTCCGTCTATAAAAATCTTCACTACTGCTCCCTGTATTTTCCCGTGAATCAGTACTGGGCAATCCGTCGCTGTACCCTCCTTATTCCTCCAGTTCTGTACGTCGACAACAAGGCAATGCTTGCCTTGTGTCGTGAGCAAAGACTTGAGCACAGAACGAAGCACATTGCTCTGCGCTACTTCCTTGCGCGCGAGCTGCAGCAGCGTGGTCAGCTGCGCCTTGCTTTCGTGGCCTCTCGGGCCAACACTGCTGATGTCTTCACCAAGGCCCTTGGGGCTGGTGATCATCAGCGTTTCTGCACTGCTCTTGGGCTTGTGCCCACTCTGCCTCACCTGCTGGTTGCTTGACTTGCTCTTGTTGTACACTGCTATATATCTTTATACCTGCATGTTTACTCTTGCTAGGTTGTGATCTGTGTACTGCCTTGCTATTATAAATCTGCATGTGAACTGGCCTTGTGGCCGCCTGCTTGTGCTCAGATTGTGTGGTGTCCTTGAGATCCACCCTGGGCTTTGCCTTGCTTGTTCTCTTGCTTGACTGGTCTTGTGATCACTGTTAGGTTTGGCTATCCCCTACTTCACCTATGGGGGTGTGTCAAAACACATTGTTCTGTTCATTTCACTCTAGGTTGTGTAGGGTTCTTTCCTTAGAGGGTACAACACTTCACTCTCGATAGTCTTGTATCCCCCCCCCTTACCTAATCGACATCCTCACCTAGCTCCTAGATTCTAACAGGTAACGGTAATGCGGGAAATTGGGGTGCGCTACGGGCCTAGCGCCGAGGTCTGGGAATTGTCGAGGCGGAGGTTCGGAGCGCGGGTTACCAACCGAACCGTTAAGTTGGGTCGCATCGCGAACAGTGGCGGGAGTCGTGGCCGAGGCGAGTGCTGCGAGCGGGTAACGTTTCACTGTGGGTGCCGATGGCGGGAATGGTCATGTACGCGGTAAGCAGGGGTGCGAAGTAAGGAAAAGGGCTTTTGCTTACAATTCTTCATCATGGCATCTAATCCATCATAGATCGGTGTGTAACTCATACAAGCATTGAAACAATTGAATCCACTGTTGCGAATATGATTGTACGGATTTTATTGTAATCTACACTATTAGAAGTGTAGTATCGAGCCTCTCCATATCGAGTGTGTTGACTGGGGAATCGAACTACAGGGGCGCAACCGCGCACAGCAGTTGCGACCCTCGTGGCAGCTGAGGATTCGAATCGACAGTGGGGCAGGTGCACTGTACACGAAAAGCCCTGTAGGGGCGCAACAGAATACCGCGCCCTTGCCGAAGGTGAACAGTCGCGCCAGCGCGACTGTAACTGGGCAACAGAAACGTTACAACGCAACTGTTATACAGTTGCGCCTTTGTAACTGCATGCCTGCTATGTTTCCTATTTAACTGGATGTATTGCATTGTTCTTATTACACAATTCTCCACCTTGTGTCCGGCCTACCCTCGGCCGCTGCCCAGGCACCACGTTACAAGCCACGAGAGCTACCTCTGAGTGACCATTGCCCCGCCGTAGGGACGTCGTTAATTCCTAGAGTATTTCCGCTACTCTAGCGACCTCTTCATTTCAACATGGAATCGGAGCAAGAGTTCAAACCCTTGGAACCTGTGGGAGCAGATTTTTTCAATTTGGCTCACCACCTATATCATCACCAGGAGCATCTCCTGGAGCAGGTCCGAACCTGCCGCAGCCCACGAAGCATTACGGTGAGGAAATTTCAACGTGTCGACGCAACATTTTGAGCGAATCGGCAACTCGTCGTTCAAGGCATTTCGGCAAAGTCCCTAGCAAGGACTTCACATCTTCAACCTGGCATAACTTCATCTCTCATCGTTTCTACACTTCTAATAGTGGAGGGGAGTGTTGCGAATATGATTGTACGGATTTTATTGTAATCTACACTATTAGAAGTGTAGTATCGAGCCTTTCCATATCGAGTATGTTGACTAGGGAATCGAACTACAGGGGCGCAACCGCGCACAGCAGTTGCGACCCTCGTGGCAGCTTAGGAGTCGAATCGACAGTGGGGCAGGTGCACTGTACACGAAACGCTCTGTAGGGGCACAGCAGGATACCGCGCCCTTGACGAAGCTGAACAGTCGCGCCAGCGCGACTGTAACTGGGCAACAGTTGCGCCTTCGTAATTGCCTGCCTGCTATGTTTCCTATTTAACTTGATGTATTGCATCGTTCTTATTACACAATTCTCCACCTTGTGTCCGGCCTACCCTCGGCCGCCGCTCTGGCACCACGTTACAAGCCACGAGAGCTACCTCTGAGTGACCATTGCCCCGCCGTAGGGACGTCGCTAATTCCTAGAGTATTTCCGCTACTCTAGCGACCTCTTCATTTCAATATCCACCATACATACCCATTGAATAGATTGTATACATACTCCAAAGAAAATGTACCCGAAAATTTGCACGAGTTTCTAGCATGTGTTCGGCATGACCGAGCTTGGTACCATATCTCACGTGAACTACAAAACTTTGTACGAAATTTAATTCTAAAACCTTGCGGGCTAGGCATAAGATGCGGAGAAAACATGTGTGGCTGAACATCAGACGATCAAACCAATTTTGTCCGATAACGATAGCTTTAGCCTTGGTTTATGGATGGATGATCAATGTAGTTGTTGTGTGGCTTGATGACGTGAACAAAAAAAGGATGGGAAAATCCTGCAAAGCGATGACAGAAAGGGTAAGGAAATGAGCTTTCTTGTTACAAACTGGTGTGAATGTTATGACATGATCTGAAGGGAATGAGCTTCCGTGTAAGGTAGTTTGAGGAAATACATGAGCTAAAACGAATACAGTGGTGAGGACGCGTCACAATTGCAACACCGGGGAGGAACGGGACCGAACACCGAAAATGTGTGCATCGCGTATGAAAAACGGGTTTCAACCTGCATGAGCAGGTGTTAGGGCGCGTGTCCTTTGGTGTATACGTTCGGAATTTGGGTTGAACTTTTTCTGGTAACCCGCTTCGTATATTTCGCCATTTGTTTCGCTTGGACATCGTGTGTCCTACCCCAACCTGCTTCTCCGCGCCAAGTGGGACACGACCGGTTTTGCAAGTGGGGGATCTCCATGCGAAGTGTACACCCAGCTTCTAGCGCAGGAGCCATGCTTCGCTGGTGCGTCGTACAATTTCGCCTGGCTTGTGACGATGTCGTCCTGTTACCACATCGAAAGTGGCCGACGGTATGCGACGGCGATCGATCGTGGCTGGCACTGGTGGCACGATTTCGTTTCCCGCGCTGCCAATCGCACGATCGATGTGGCATTTCGAACCATACGATCTCGTCAATCTGCAAGTTCACGATCTTCGCGTCATGATATGCGAAACCAGGTAATATAGTTTTCGCCAGTTGGCGAAAAGACTGTACATTGTGAACACCGACCCTGAGATTGCACCGTTGGTTTGGGTACATGCATGTGCACCAGCCATGGATGACACATGCAGCTCCCACATCAATCAGCAGCTGATTGGTTTCCCTTTACTGTTCTAGAGGAAGGAAACTGTGCCAAACCACAGCACAGCAGCCACCCTGGTCAGCCACCCTATTCAGCCACCCTGGTCAGCCACCCTATTCAGCCACCCTGCTCAGTTCAGCCACAGCAGTTACCGAACCACACAAACCAAACCAGGCCACGACCACCACCAAAGCAGGCCAAAAAAGCTCTCGCCTCGGTGTGCTGTGTGCCGCTTGTTCCGTTGTCTGGCACAGGCTCGTTCTTGTCGTGTGTTGGTCAGATCCATAAAGAAACTCGATTTGATTCGGCAGGAACCTTTTTGCCACTTTTAGGGATTGGTTGGTGCAGTTGCCCGTTCATCTACCCTTCTGACGTGCCTCCTTTCATGAGGCTTTGCTTGTTGACCCTCCCAGACTACATCCGGAATATGTTCAGAGGGAGGCGATAAATATTACAAAAATCACAAAACAGTCCAACCCGAGAATTGCATATACACACGTGATTCGTTTTGGGCTGCCCAAGAATAACTTTCCAGAAACAGCTCCCTCTCTCCGCGTCCATCCGCGTCCAAACCAACCCCACCCCTCCCTCCCTCCCTCCCTCCCTCCCTCCCTCCCTCCCTCCCTCCCTACCTCCCCTCCCTCCCCCACCCCCCTCGCCTCGTTTCCTCCCGCTGTACAGCGTGTGTTCACAACACAACGCATCAAAGGTTTTGTATAAAAAACCCAAGAAGCAGGTGAATGGATGGATGTTTGTTGCGGGGCGGATGTTATCTTCCCGCAGTACCCTACCCGACCGGTTCAGATACGATTTTGACAGCTGTAGAACGCAAAGCATCTCATTGAGCCGCATTTTAGCCAATATTTGGCAGAGAATATTCGTCAGCACCGCCATTCCGAGCAGAGATGCTCAGCAGCAATCAGTGGGCTTGCGTTGCGGTGCTCGCGAGTTCCTGCAGCGCTGCAGCAGCTGTCTTCAAGTCGAGCCAAGTCTTTTTGTGTTGCAGGAAGTCACGCCATCGTCGATGGGAGTCACGAATAATGCTCCGCTGAATGATGCCGCGCACCACCAACTGCTGTCGCATCACATCGCATCGCATCATAAATAAACGATCCAGCCTTTTCCAACCGCTTTCTCGGTTCTCGCACCAACCGCTCTCCTTCCTCTCGGTGCGCCGCCACCGCATCTCATGACTAAGCGATCCACGTCGACAGCATGCATTCAAACGCCAATTAGAATCTCGAAATCCTTCGTCCGCTATCCATGGTGATCTAAGCTACCAATTTCGTTTCTTAGAATCGACCCTGCCAGATGCGTGACAGGCGGAGTGAGCCCGAGCCCGACATGTCTTGGTCGCGGAAAGCTTGTGCATGGTGCCAATTCGGGATTTCATTGAGTACAATTCGTCCTCCGCGCGGCACGGTCCGTTGGCTGCTGCTGCTGGTGCTCGCCGTTCACATAGCCTCTCGCCTCTCCTCTGCCGATGCTCGCGACGATGCCGCGGCGGTAGCGGGAGGGGCAGTGGCGGAGGGCGCTACACGAGGTAGTGGGTGTGAAGTTGGGGAGGCTTCTATGGACGATGCCGCCGCGGGATATCCCGGTGCGCGCACGTGCAAAGCCGCTGCGACGGACTCGAGCGCGCATCCAGCGGACACTGTTAGAGATGTTGATCCAACGGCGGCAGCCTCCTCCCCGGCTGCACACAAGCACACCGCTTCCGCCGGTACCTGCGCCGGGGAATGCGGCAGCACCGCTGCTGCCAACGACGGTACTGAAGAAGCAGCAGGCGACAGCAACGCCTGCGTGTCCTCTTCAACCCTTACTGTGGCGGCATTGAACTCGTCCCTAACCTCGACTGCGTCGCCCGAGGGTTCGAGCGCGGCGGAGTTGGTGCTTTCCGCCGTCAATGCCGTGCGCGCAGCAGTGGAGGCGGAACGCATTGCGCTCGCGCGCCTGCAGGAAACCGTGGCGGAGCAGAGCGCGCGCCTGGAGCGCATGGAGCGGCTTCTGGCGGAGCTTGCGGGGAGACGGGCGGAAGGCGCACGGCCAGGGGACTGGGGTTTGGGTGCGATTGGGGGGGGAATTGGTGGACTAAGGCAAGGGGGGGGGGACAGTGGCAGAGGTGATGCCGGAATAGGCGGAGTGGGCGGAGTGGGCGGAATCGACGGAATGGGCGGAGTGAAAGACGCTGTGCCCTTGGGAAGCATGGGGGGAAGCGCGGAGGGAGAGCGCATGTGGAAGTCCGCGGAAGGAGCCGGTGGCGCGGAATCGCGAGGAAGGGAAGTGGTGGAGGAGCGAGCGGGCGTGCGGACGGGGAGGTGGAGTGAGCCGCTGACGTGGACTGGTAGCTTGGAGCTGGTGGGAACGGCGGCCATGGGCGCACGTGTCACCGCCCTGCTGGTGAGGGGGGATGTTGCTGGAGACTGCTGATTTGGCCCAAGTTGGGGTGGGAAGGGTTGTAGCAAGTTGGCTGTGGCGAAGTTAGGGTTTGGCGCAGGTGAGTTTGGTGAGGTGGTGTGCGTGGTGTAGGTGGTGGGGTGAGAAGGTCTGGCCTAATGTGAGTTATTTGTTCAGAATTCTTAAGCACTATTTTCTGTCCCGTCAACCCTACTCCCACGTCCCCACCCCATGTCCACGCCCCCATTCCCACCCACCCCTCAGCTTCTCCCGTTGGACCTGTCGTCCCCTACGGGCGGGCGGCTGGTGGCAGTGGGGGACATGGCGGGCCACGTGCGCGTGTTCTCTTCCCAGGGCCACCTGCTGCTGCACCTGCACCCGCCCTCGCTGCACTCCCACGAGCACGCACACGCGCATGACCATGGGGGGCGAGGAGGCGGAGGAGGAGCACCCGGAGGAGGGGGAGGGGGAGGGGGGAGGGGAGGGGAGTGGGCGGTGACGGCGCTGGTGGCGGCAGCAGTGAAGCGCAACGAGACGTGGCTGGCAACAGGGCATGCGGACGGGTCCGTGTACCTTGTGCGCGTGCCCGAGCTGCAGGCTCGCGGCCGCTCTGCTGCCGCCCCTGCCACCACCACCACCACCATCACCGCTGCTTCTGCTGCTGCTGCGGCGGCGGCAGCAGTGGGGGAGCACGGGGAGGTGTTGGTGGGCGGTATGCTGGCGTCGTACGCGGTGCCGGTGGTGGAGCTGCTTCCCGCTGGCGCCCTTCACTCCCTGCCTGCTGCTGCTGCTGCTGCCGGACAGACGGCAGGTGCAGCAGGCGATGCACAAACCGAGCAGCAGCAGCAGCAGCAGCAGGCGGGGTGGCGGGTGCCATGGAGAGCAGTGACGTGTCTGGAGGTGCACAAGTCAGGGTCGTCGCGGTACATCCTGGTGGGCAGTGCGGGGGGCGTCATTGCAGTGCTGCGATCCAATGGCTCCATCTACGGCCACGCCACTATGCCGCCCGTGCAGCAGGGAGTGCAGGGACTGCAAGGAATGCAGCATGAAGGCAGCACAGGCGAGGCCCGGTCGAAGCAGAGAGGCGGAGAGGCCGCCGCTGCTGCTGCTGCTGCTGCTGCCGCTGACGCTGCAGGCGCGGGTGTGAAAGCACGAGAGAAGGGACCAGGCAAGGGTAGTCTGGACTCTGCTGAAGCCACTGCTCCTTTTGCTGCTGCTGCTGCTGCCGCTGTCGGTCGGCCCAGCGTCCCCTTGGCGTTCATCCGCACGCCCTCCTCCCAGCGAGTGCTCTTCCTGACGTCAGCAGGAGCAGCGTCCGTGGACCTGCTCTCGCTCACCATGCACCCCGCCACGTGCCACGGGCTCAACGGCTCCACGCTCGCCGCCTTCTCCTTTGACCCGGCCAGCCGCTCGCGCGCGTATGCGGTGACGACGGAGGGCGAGCTGGTGCTGGTGACGATCACAGGGGATACCAACTGGTTTGACTGCCGCGTGCGCTGGAGAGTACCTGCGCTGCACTCCATCAAGCCTGCTGCTGCTGCTGCTGATGTTGGTGTTGATGTGGATCCTAATGCTGATGCTAATGATGGTGCTGTTGACGGTGTTGGTGGCCGTGACAGTGCTGAAAGTGCTGGTGGGAGGGGAGTGGTGGGGGATGTGGTGGGTGTGGGGCAGGGCAAGGTGGCAGCAGTGCATGGGTATGTGTTTGTGGCAGGGGCTGGCTCACTGCTCATCTTCAATGTCTCCGGACAGGTGGGTCATACATGCACAACAGAATCATTCATGCATGACAAATCATTTAGAAATGCATTGTGTCGTATGCAGTCGATTCGTCTGTCGATTACCTCCATTCACTGGGACACTGTCCCCCCGCCCGCCGTACACCAGTAAGACGTGCAGCGTTCTGTGTTTTCTCTGTCTCTGTTTTGAGTTTCACTGCAACGATGTGAACACCAATCATTCTTTCCAACACTCTTTCATGCCATTCCGCCCCATCCCTGCCTCCCACTCATCCATTCTCACTGTCTCCCACCCTCCTTCCTCCTGCCCACTGCTGCAGCCATTCCGCTTCGTCTCCCCTCGCTCCAAGCCATGGGCACCAACCCTCCTCCTCACCATCCCTCTCTCCTCCGCGCTGGCTGCACTTCCCCCGCACCTCCCCTCCATCCCACCATCCCTCCTCTCCGCCCTCGCCTCCTCCGCCCTCCCTCCACCCCTAATCGCCTCAAACAAAGAGTCCCTGCTCGCAGTGGCCTTCTCAGCCCACAATGTCGCCATCTACCGCTCCCGCCTGCCCGTCTCCTCCGCCCGCTCGCGCCGCTCCTCCTCCTTCCTCTCCACGCCCATCCTACTCATCTTCATCTTCCTCTGTGCCGCCTGGCAGTTTGGCCGCAGAGCCCACGCGGGTTCCTCTGCTGGTGGTGAAGCACTGGGTAATTCGGTTCCAGGCGATTCAGAACCTCTTGGTGTTGCTCCGCATGCTCTTGGGACGGGGCTGGGGATACGGGGGCTGGAAATGGACGAGTCGGGTTTTGCCGGTGGGGGTTCTGGTGCGGGTGGGAGTGGGAGCGGTGGTGGTGGGAGTGGGAGTGCAGGGAGATTGTCGGCTGGTTCAGGATTGTTCACGGGCAGGCGAACAGGTGGGGGTGGGGATGGGGAGGAGATGTGGGGAATGCAGATGGGCGGAAGAGGAGGAGGAGCAGGTGGAGGAGGAGCAGGGGCAGGTGGGGATGGGGAGGTTGCGAGGGCAAACGTGGGAGGAAGAAGGCCCGAAGAAGGATCAGCAGGGCTGAGGATTCATGGGATGAGACCAAGTGGTGGGGATGGATTCAGGGGCCTGTCAGATGGGGGAGGGAGTGGAGGGGTGGCGGAGGGTGTTGCTGGGTTGCAGAGGGGGGGTGGGGACAGAGGGGGGGGAGGGATGGGGGAGAGTGGAGGGGACACGATGCGAGAGAATAGGTTGGGTTTTGATCGCATGGGTCAGGCGAGAGGCATGGCAGCAGCAGGAGTGAGGGGTGCGAGCAGGCTGGGGCTGGGGATGGAGGAAGGAGGAGAGGACACCCGTTCTGCTGCAGGCACTGCTGGAGCAGCAACAGCAGCAGCAGCAGCAGCAGGTGTTGGTGCCAGTGGTGTTGGTGGTGGCGCTGCCGGCCTGTCTGCTGCGGGTGGCGGTGGTCTAGAGGGGGCGAGCAGGCAGGCATGGCTGGATGCGAGTGATGGCGGCGGTGGGCTGGTGAGCAGCCGCAATAGTGACTGGGCTCCCATTGGCAGGATGAGAGCATCGGAAATGAGAGCAGCAGAGCGCTACCCCGCATCGCACCTCATGGGCGGGAGGCCGGCTCCTATGTCGGGCCGTGTGGTGGGGCACCCAGGCCCGCGGCCAGAGTACCGTGGCAGGGAGACGTATCCCCCATCTGGTCGCAGGGATCCGTTCTATGCCCGCCGCGCGTTCCAGCCTGGTTGAAGCTCTTCTGTGGGTGGCGCTGCCAGCGCTGTGCGGCACAGGTATGTCTGCTTGATAAGATTGTGGTTGGGACTAGGTAGGAGAGAGGATCTTGGACCATTGTAGAAGCAGCTGATAGAGATGTTCTAGGGGTTGGTGGTGGAGAGTATACTGCAGTGTGCATACACTGAGATCTGATGTAGATCATGCAATCGGAATTATCCAATTGGTTGGTTTTGTTGTTTTTTTGTAGTGAATGGTGGTGGTGAGTCATGTGCGGACATGGCTAAGTGCCGTTGATCCTCCATTCTCCTTTGCCAAATGCAAGTGTACGGTATAGGGATCTAGCCATCTCCATCTTGTTGTAGTAGTGCGTAAATATCAATACCGTACATAAGGAAGGCTTCAAACAATACCAGGAGCCAAAATTGTACTGATCGCCACCACTGAAACTAGCAGCACCCATCATCCCAAAGAGACATTTACCAGCAACTAACCACTGCATGTGTGTTACTCAGCACCCCGTACCAACCTCACAGTTGAGAGCACTGCAGATGAAAGCTGGAGCGAGAAAGAGAGGCAACAGGGATGGGGGGGAACAGGAAGAGCAGAAGGCGACCAGACTAGGGAGTGGAGCGGACCAGGCAGAGTGAGGGTGTACGTGTAGTCAAGCCATCCATTGAGTCGACTTAAAGCCAGGATCTCAAGTAGTTCAATTGTTTTGCAGTTGGTGAGGGGAGCTGGGCTGCGATTGGTTAGCGAGGTGAACAATCTGACGAGGTGTGAAGCGAGGGGTGCGAAGTAAAGACAAATCGCAAATTCAGTCCGAACCAAGCAAGGCTCGGAAACTGGTTCGGTGACGAAGCTCCAATGCCTGCAATTTCTCGTCACACACAACAATCTCATGTACCAGCAAAATGTTTTGCATTTGCTCTAGGGGCAAAATCGTGGGTGTGCCACACGCTCACTTTCCTAACCAGCCAGTCAATTCGCCTACAAAAATAGGGTAACAAGCGCTGCAAGTGTTTTGCAATTGAAGGCCAATTCTCTTACTTGAGATCCTGGCTTTAAATAACACCAGGCAAGCCCAAGTGGGAGTGGACAGAATCAGGCCGAATCAGGGTGCCACATGCGCGTGCACACGTAGTCAAGCCAGCCCCTGGCTGCATCAAAGTCGGCAGGCACAGAGCCAAGCCCCTCCTTTATCATGTACTGTGCAATGTCTGCTATCAGCTGTGGCGACACCACCTGCAGTCATGCATGGTTGCAGGGCGGAGGAGGCAACGGGAGGAGTCAAGGCATTGGAGGAGACAATCAGGGGAGGGCCACCATTCTGATAAACGACGCGGCTCAGGAATTTATCTGCGAAGGGCTGGAGTGCACGTGTGCCCATGCATCCCACAAATCCCATGCAATCCATGCAATCCATGCATCGCACCTTCATGTCAGAGAAGGCAGGGAAGAGCATGCCCGACGCCAGTCGGCTCTCCGGCACCTTGCTCGCAAGAACCTCCGCAGCTTCCAGGAACACACCATCCGTGATGGCACTGCAGTTGGTGAGCACAGCCGCCATGCCAATGGGCGGGAACACATACGCGTTGTTGGCCTGCGCGGGCACCAGCGTGCGCTTGTCGTGCGTGGTGAAGGCGGGGAAGGGGCTGCCGCTGGCAAAGACGACGGTGCCGTGCGTGTGGTGGTAGGCGTCCTGGAAGGTGCACTCGGACTTGGAGGTGGGGTTGGAGAGCGGGAAGATGACCGGGTGCTCGTTCAGATCCGCCATCGTTTCCAGGATCTCGGATGTGAAGGCGCCTGCTATGGTCGACACTCCGATCAGCATGGTCGGCCTGCACATGACGGCCAAGAGGTGGCAGTAGAACAAGGCGAATTAGCATGCATATTTGAGGAGGGTCAAGCGCCTACTTGGGGACATGTTGTGGAGGGCTTAGAGAGCGAGAGAGAAAGAGGAGCGATGGAGGAGAAGGGAGAGGGTGGAAGGACGAAAGCAGGCATCTGGGGTAACAGAGAGACCCGTCGCATGAGAAGGATACGAGACAGCGAAGGAGAGAACAGCGAACGAGCTTACTTGTGTGTCTTGACCACGGAGAGAAGGTCCGACAGGAACGGGATGTCATGCGCAAATGGCAGCTTGTGGTGCTGCAGGTCCTTCCTCGACTTGCACACAAGGCCCTTGGAGTCCACGAACAGGCAGTGCTGCAGCGCCTCTTCCAAAGGCACGCCACACCGCTTGTGCATGGCCTGCGCGATCAGATGCCCAATTCCCGTGCCGGCCTCGCCCGCACCGAGGAAGAGAATCTTCTGCTGGTTCAGCTCGCCCTTGGTCACACGCAGGGCGGAGAGAATCGCAGCGAGGGTGATGCAGGCGGTGCCCTGGATGTCGTCGTTGAAGCAGCACTGCAGCCCGCGGTAGCGGTCCAGCAGGCGGAAGGCGTTGGTGTTGCCGAAGTCTTCAAACTGCAGCAGGATGTGCGGCTGCCACGCGCGCACGGCCGTCATGAGCTCGTCCACCAGCGCGTCGTACTCCTCGCCGCGCAGCCGGTGCTGCTTCAAGCCCTTGTACTGCGGGTCCGCCAGCAGCGACTCGTTGTTGGTGCCGACGTCGAGGCAGATGGGCAGGCACTGGTGCGGATCCACGCCCGCAATCACCGTGTACAGAAGGATCTTGCCCTCGCTGATGCCCATGCCGCCGTACCCCAAATCGCCCAGACCCAGGATGCGCTCGCCATCCGTCACCACAATCACGCGGATCTTCTGGTCGGGCCAGGCTTTGAGCTGGTCCAAGATTGTGCCCTTGTCCTTGGGGGAGAGGAAGAGGCCGCGGGTGTTGACAGGCAGGCGGGAGTACTTTTGGCAGGCCTCGCCCACAGTGGGTGTGTACACGAACGGGAGGATCTCCTGCGCGTTGTTCATCGTCAGCTGCCAGAACGCCTGCACGTTCTTCTCCTGTGATGCACGACAGCAAGGGGGAGGGGGACCGAATCGAGGGTGGCCGCGTGGGTTACTGATATTTGACATTCTTAATCGTTGGGAATTCATAAATTTCAGATAAATTACGTGCTGTACTTGTTCACAAGCTTCTTGAGCCAGTGTCTCAGATCCAAAGCAGAGATGCAATTGTCATGGTACAACGAGTGATTGTGTTCCTTGCATCAGTGCATCTGTGAATCTGTGCATCCAACGCAGCCCTCACTCTCGTCCCCCCTGCCTGCCGCATGTGCCATGGTGCAAAGAGTACTTGTGTTTGTTCCGTGCATTGCATCCGCGGGCAACACCCATACCTGCAGGTTGCGGAGGAAGAGGTAGCGCTGCAGATCCGTGTACATCTCGCGCAGCTGCACCAGCTCCTCCATGTCCTCCCAGTGCACCTGCTCACACCGCACACCACACCACACATGACATACACCACACACAGCACACACAGCACATCCAGCAGCACGCCACACAGCACAGCACACACGGCACACCATACATAGCACAGAGCACACGCATAATCCCCGTTAGACCACAGGACCAACCACCACAACGATTTCATGATTTCTCTCCGTTGCTCTTTCCATCCGTTCGCAGCCAGTTTCGCCCTCCTCCTCCTCCCACTGCCGTCCCTATAAATCGTTCCCTCTTTCCCCAACGTGCAAGTCATGAGCCATGGGGGGTGCAAATGCGAGCGGCGGGTGCACACGCGATGCGCAGTGAATGAGGCCAAGAGTGGGAGAAGTGGATGTGGGAGGCGTGTTCGACCAGTGGACGGAGAACGTGGTGGAAAAAGTTGGGGCTATGGCAATTAAAGTCGATTGTGGTGGGAGGAAGTGGTAAAATTTTCGGATGGAGGTGGAAAATGCTTGGGCTTCTTATTATTGCTTAACAACGTCGCCTACATATGTTAACTCACAGGGGAAATAGACAAGCGAATGTGCCACGTGCCATTACCTATGCATGCCATGCTCTCTTGCCCCGCTCCATCTATGCTCTAAGCCACGCAGGCACCAATCACAACCGGCTGCGCGTATCCGGCGCTCTTAATCGGCTAGGCACCTCGGAGGCTGGGTGGTTGGGGACTTTGATGGCGGTGGCGGCGCGCGGCGTGTTGGAGCGCACGCCCGACGGGTGGTACATGGCCGCGCGCACCGCCTCCTCCCAGTTCTTCACGCCCTTGGGCGCCACGCCCAGCCCCTCCCGCACGATGAACTCCGCCGTGCGCGCCACCAGCGGCACCACAAGCGACTGCACCGGGGGATTGAGAGGTGCGAGAGCGGGGGTAGATGTTGGAAGGCGGGGTTGGAGAGAAGGGATCTGAGTTGAGCGATGCGTTGAAGATGCGGAAGGGAGAACGTTGAAGACTGAATGAAAAAGAGGCACTTTCGAGGCTCGATTGGGTGAAGAGCCAGAGGCGAGGGAGGGAATATCCGGATTGTCTTACCTTGAAGGCAGAAAAGCTGGGGAAGAGCATTCCCACGTCGAGATTATCTTGAGGGGTGAGATCCGCCAGGTACTCCGCGGCAGCCAAGAAAAGATCGTCCGTGATCTGCCGGCAGTTGGTGAGCAGCGCCGCCATGCCCACAGGCCCGAAAATGTACGCGTTGTTAGCTTGAGCCGGGTACATCGTAACGCCAGAGGGGGTCTTCAAGTGCGGGTACGGGCTGCCTGACGCGTACACCACGCGGCCGCCGGTCCAGTTGTAGGCGTCTCGGTACGTGCACTCGCATTTGGAGGTCGGATTGGAAAGCGGGAATATGATCGGGCGATCGTTGATCTCGGACATGGCTTCGACGATTTCGCGCGTGAACGCACCCGCAATGGTTGACACGCCAATCAGAATCGTTGGCCTGTGGGATATCAGACATATTAAACAGCAAACCCGATGGAAAAACAAATTAAAGACATGGCTCAACCTGGACCGAGCGGGAGGAGACAAAAACCAAGGGACATGAACTGATCAGCTGGAGGGATTATGCTTCTCACCTGTACACCTTAACAACGGAGTAGAGGTCAGGCTGGAACGGAATGTCATGAGCGAACGGTATCTTGTGGTGCTGCAGGTCCGTCCGCGACTTGCACACAAGGCCCTTGGAGTCCACGAACAGGCAGTTACGCATGGCCTCCTCAAGCGGCACGCCGCACCGCTTGTGCATGGCCAGCGCGATCAGATGCCCGATTCCCGTGCCGGCCTCGCCCGCACCCAGGAAGACGATGCGTTGCCATTGAAGCTTTCCTCGAGTCACGCGGAGGCCGGAGAGGACGCCGGCGAGGGTGATGCAGGCGGTGCCCTGGATGTCGTCGTTGAAGCAGCACTGCAGCCCGCGGTAGCGGTCCAGAAGGCGGAAGGCGTTGATGTTGCCAAAGTCTTCAAACTGCAGCAGGATGTGCGGCTGCCACGCGCGCACGGCCGTCATCAGCTCGTCCACCAGCGCGTCGTACTCCTCGCCGCGCAGCCGGTGCTGCTTCAAGCCCTTGTACTGCGGGTCCGCCAGCAGCGACTCGTTGTTGGTGCCGACGTCGAGGCAGATGGGCAGGCATTGGTGCGGATCCACGCCCGCAATCACCGTGTACAGAAGGATCTTGCCCTCGCTGATGCCCATGCCGCCGTACCCCAGATCGCCCAGACCCAGGATGCGCTCGCCGTCCGTCACCACAATCACGCGGATCTTCTTCTCAGGCCACGTCTTCAGCTTCTCAAGCACTTGTCCGCGATCCGCGGGAGTGATGTAGAGGCCGCGAGTGACGATCGGAAGGTGGCTGTACTTTTGACAGGCCTCGCCGACAGTGGGAGTGTAAACAAATGGAAGGATCTCTTGAGCGTTGTTAATTAGGAGGCTGTAAAACAGCTGTTCATCCTTCTCTCTCAAGCTGCGGAGATATGTGTATCGATCGAGATCTGAGTGGCACTGGCGGAGACTTTCAAGCGCCGCATGTTCAGCTCGTATGGCGGATCGGAGTTGCACTGGCATGTCCTTCGTCTTGAGCAGACCTTCCAGCGTTAGGTTCTGCACAAGCTTGCCATGCGGTCCTTGCGGCATCGTCGGTGAGTTCAGAGCTTCAACGTAGTTCAGTCAGTATGGTGGAAAACTACCTGGCAAAGGACCCAAGCACTGGTGTAACTGAATCAAATGAAAGGTAGAAAGCGTAACCCGAATTCACATGCAACAAATATTTTGGGGAAAAGTGCCTAGATATGCGGGTTCAACAGACCACGTGGTGTGCTTGTCAAGGATGGCGGGAAGGCGAATCTGTTCCTCCAGCGATGCATGGAGCGCATCACCCGATGTTCCCGTGACTGTTTTGAATCTGCCCATCAGGATTCCCAGCCTGACCACTCACACCACACCTGCTTCCATCATCCTTGCAGTGAGGATGAATGTGGAGGCTCGCGTCGGATGTCCGAACGGATAGGATGGAATGGAATCTGACGACGAACCAGAGGCTGTCATAATCACCGACTTTGCCATCTGCGCTGTCGACATCTACGGCTGGTATCTGTCGTCTTCTGAATCTTTACCGTCAACAAATGCGGATTCCATATCAGGTGAAGCACCCAGCGTTACACCTGTTTGGCGGAAAGATATCTAGCCATTCACTGTGGCTTTGAGGTCGTTGGGGTTGGGATTGCGGTTGACACGTGGATGGCAGGAAGTCAACCGTGGAGGCTGTCAGCGTTCTGGCGGAAAGCAGGGTAGGTGGGGCTTTGCACAACGCGCTCTGCCAGTGGTGCGGTCCACTGACACGTGCCATACCGAGCTATTAGTTGGCATGGACCACCGAAGCTGTTGCCGTCAAACATACACCACAAATTAGGCTTGGGGGAGGAGGGGGTGATTGGTGTGGGAACATTTCACCTGCCTCAAAACCTTTTGATCAAGTTGGTTTCCTATGTGAGGTACAGCCACACCAGTTTCTCATTTGTGGCATGCAAATTCACATGGGCACAAAAAGAGCCCTAAAGGGTGTTCAATGCACCCCTGAAGTATAAAACCTTCATCCCATCTACACAGCCATGCTCCTCTGCCCATACATGACCTCCCCTATATTTGGAGCAGACAACTCTATCAGCCTCTTACCATCACTCTACACATTGGTGTTTCTCCTGTACAGTGACGATGACCTTGCCACATAACACCGTACTTCCAATGACGAACGCTGGCAAGATGGCAAAGGCCGCCATGTGCTGCTTGTGAAGCGCTCCATGTACAACCCACTCTCGGTTCACAGCCCTCATGAAAGAAGAGCTGAAGGGCGAAAACGGCTGAACGCGATAAATACGAGCGGGCTCTGGAAAAACCCAAGCCAGGGCATGAAGCGCCCATACTGCTCGAGCAAGAGCCACAAACTTCTCTGAGATGCCACTGCCACAGACGATTGTGTCCACCCCACCATCACCATCATTATTTCCACTGTCGCACCTGTTGGCAACATGGGAAGCGTCATAACTACCCGTGGTGTCCGTTGCCCATGTGGTTCCACTTAGTGGAGAGTCTCTGTCACTGCTGTCCTCCATACTGCAACAGTCATTGCTGCTGCTCCCACTATTGCTGGTCGAATTGCTGCCAGCACTGTCGCTCCTGGATAGACCGGCATCGTGCTTGCCAGCCAACGGCGAGACGGCAAGCATCGCTCCCACCAGCACATCAGCAACCCTCTCAGCCTTCCTCTCACAGAAACTCACAAAATTTGGCTCCCTCAGAGGATTCATGGGTCCTCGCCTCCAGCGCTGCACCAGGAACTTGTCATAGTTGCGAGCACACCTCTCACTGTCAGATGTGAACTCGCAGTACGCTGCTCTCTGGAACCTGTCGCACTCGAAATCCTCAAACATGACTTCACTCACACAAGCTGCCACCACGTCTAGCGCCTGAGGGACAAAGCCAGACCCCGTACAAGACTCATCACAGCTCCCAACCGCAGCCGCTGCACTGTCTGCACCCGATACAGTAGCACAAGGAGGTTTGCCTTGTGTTTGCACGGGATCAACAGCCAAGCTCTTCTTCGGCTTCCTCTTCTCCTTCCAGCCTTGCCAGCTCACCATCCCATTGAGAAGCTGTTGTGCCAGAGCCTGCACGTCCACCTTCATTTGCCCTGCAATGTCGGAGCAGTAATCCCCCAGCCGTTCCTCCACACACTGCACTTGAGCTTCCATCTGCTGCAGCAGCATCTCCCTCCCCTTCCACTGCTGACTGTTGCGTTGTTCCCCCAACATCTCTTCAGCACCATAGATGGTTTCCCACTCGTACCCATGTGTCTGTGAGTCCTGCCAGGCGTTGTTGTGGTCGGAGCATGTCAGCTTCCGTTGCTCCCTCACGCTCTGCCCTGTGGGCCACCACTCCTTCTGCCTGTCTCTTGCCCGTGCCATTTCCTGCCAGTCGCAGCCCTTCTCGTCTGAAAGAAGCATGCGTTCCGTGCAGTCGAGAGATTCTACCTCACTCCCAAACACCTCCACACACTCTCTGAACCGAACCTTCCGATCAGTATGAGCGCTGGCAGCCTCTTCACACACCGGCTGCACGTCACGACCATTGTCAACTCCCTCCTCCGGTGAGTCACAGGACCCTAACGAAGCGCTGCTGCCATGCGCATCAGCAGCCAGGCTCACCGAGGCATCAGCACTGATACCATCACCATGGTCATCATCCTTGCAGCCCTTATCCTCCACCTTATCCACTTGACCGCTAGCTGAATCTAGAGAGCAACAGGCGTCAGATGGTGCAGTTGCTGCAGCGCATGTAGCAGAGACGACTTCTTCAACACACAGAACATCAGCACCACCACCATCGCAGCTGCTATCGTCGTCACAATCATCATCACATTCAGGCGCTTCCACAGCATGCGCATCAAAACGAGGCACAGCTTGTACTCTGGCCATTCCGCTGCTGAGACTCATCATCTCCATCTGCACCATCCCTGCAGTCACTCGCTTCCTGGCGTCCAGAAGACGCTCTCCCAGCACCATCACCTCTCTCTCTAACTCCACCACTCGTGCTTGGCTCTCCTGCAATTTCTGCTGCAACCACTCCACGTTCCCCTGACCTTCCGTCCACTCCTCGTCTTTGTATGTGCCAGCATCGGCGCCAGTCCATCCATTATCCTTCTCTCGATCCACCACCCTGCCCCCCTCCATATGTAAATCCTTTTCCCCTGCATACCCTTCACATCCTCCCGCATCAGCCTCATCCCCATGCCATCCCGCCACATCCCTGCCCTCATCAGCAGTATCCGCGCGGCCCTGCTCGAAGTCAGGCTTGTCACCCTCCACGCTTGATGCCTCGTTGGCCAGGGAGGCCTTGGCACCAGATGCCTCTTCCAGCAAAGCTCGCAGCTGCTGTAGCTCCTCTGAGTGCTCTCGCATCAGCCGAGCAAGCGAAGCCTTAAGGGCGTCAATGGCAGCCTCGTACTCCTCCCTCTCCATTCGCATCTCCTCCCGTGATGCTGCCATCTCCGCCTTCAGCGCAGAAACTTCAAGCTCCAATCGCTCTGCTCTATCCCGTTCGCTTGCCCACCTAATTTTGACCGCTGCAAGAGAACTTGCAGAACTAGGGTCAGTACTGTCCCCGCAGGCGGTTTCAAGAGCAAAGGGATCGGTGGCGGGGAGTGATGTACGACGAGATGGTGAGAGAGGTGGTGATGCTGATTCCGTTGCGGAAACTGGGGATAGTAGGGATGAAGGTGAGTAGGAAGATGGCGAAAAGGATGATGACAACGGTGCAGACGCCACAGACAGAGTGTACGCTTGCCAGGACCCACTTATTGATGATGTTGATGTCACTATCTCACTCCCCTCGTCCAAACGGTACTCTTCACCGGAGCTCTCGGCATGTGGATCAGTTGACGGGTCAGTCAATAACAGCCCCGAGATGTCAACTCCTGGCTCTGCGGTCGGACATGTGATGGTAGCAGGTAAGGGCGAGAACTGCGACGACCAGAACGATGAGAAGGACGCCCGAGGAGGTACTGAGACCTGCAGGTCGCTACGCCTCTTGCTGCTTGCTGCTGTTCCCTCGGACAGCACGGCATGTGGTGGAGTCACAGAGGACGCCTTCAGCGCTGGAGCTGCCAGCAGGGATATGTCTGGAAGCACCTGCTTCCGTGCATGGCCGCCTCGTACGGGCTTAAAGGGTGACATGGTGTGAACGGCCTAACACCAATTTTCCGTTCTACGGCAGCAGACTGTCCCGCGATTGACGCTCGCGCCGTAGCTGACGCTGAATGCACGGCGGGTGCGGATTCATAACTGATGCTTACTGGAGATGCCTGCCTGACAACCAATTACGCTTAGTAAGTAAGCTGCACATAATTTCACCGTTGTGGAGCTGTCTACTAGCCCTGGGAACGAAGAGAGAGACTACGAAAAGGATGGCCAATATTAGGAATCTTGTTGAATCGGGCATTCTCCGCTTAATTTTCGCCCCAGGAAATATTGCCAGCCTGGAGTGGGGTTTTCGTCGTCCCTGGAAAAGTGAGTCCGAGATTGGCAAGTTCTTCAAGTGAATTGATCAAAGGCATGAATAGACTTTGGAATGCCCGAAGCGATGGCCTCGTGTGAGGCTAAGGGGGCTGTGGATGATCATTGCAAGGTTGGCGATTCGAACCACCTGAGCTGCTTCCAGCAGACGGCTCGTGCAACCTCCCGTGTCCCCTCCCGTTACCTCAACCTCCCCGGTTTTCAGCAGCACGCCGTAGCGCGTGGTGCGACAGCTGTTGATGTGCACGCGTGCCGCCATATTATCCCGCTAGAACCGTTATACTTGCGTGTGCGGAGCGGCAGTGGGAGCAGAGCAGAATCTGCGGGAAAGGAGGGGGGTGCTCCAATCGTATTTCCGCTGCATAGATACCCAGAAAAAAACCTAAATGATGTACACAAACACGGAGAAGTTGCGTTTTCTTCAAAGCAATAAAAATATCTCGCCGTTCCTAAGGAACAGAGATGTGCCGCTTGCCTCGCTGATCAGTTCCGCAAAGAAAAGCCGTGCCTGGCTTCGTCCACACAACCATAACCTCAACAGCTTGCAAGTGTCGTCTTCTTCGAGATACACCAGTGGAGGTTGTTCTGTGTGACCTGCAAGGATTGTAATTACCACCTCGTAGTGATCACACTCGCGTTCATCGGTCAACCCAAGTGAACTGTGACCAAATTTTACGCTTCATAGACAAACAGTACAAGCTTGTTAATAATTACTCAAGTGCTAAAATCAGATAACGAATACAGAAATCAAGATAGCTACCAGGGCATAATAATTCAAAATCGTAAAATTTTGGTTAGCTCATGATTACAGATCATTATGGTATGGAAATATCACTATATAGCATTATGATAGTCTTCTACATTGCATGACGTATGGTATAGCATGGTATATCATATGAGATATTAGAAAAAACATTATTAGTTTTTTTTTTTGGATGCAATACACTTATATAAGCGGTTACATCCACAGTCGTAACTGGAAAAAAAAACTAAAAAACATTATTAGTATCATCACTCTGTTTCTGGGTGTTTGGCATCTAAACTAAGCGTTTGCTTGTTGACGACATTCTGAAGCATAGTGTATTATTGAGGATACCGAACGAGGTTTGCGCGGGAACATATCGAACCTCCTCGTCAGGCATGGCAATCTTCTGGGGCACATCATGTCATGTGATGGCACCACAGATGTCAGTTTTCTGTCAGAGACCGCGAATTTGAAATTCTCGCACCCCAACTTCCTTGTCGGGCCCCATGCTTGGCATGTACTGAAATTGTGACCTCATCCTTTCCTGTCCATCCTTCTGACTTTCCTGTCTAATCTCTAGTTTTGCCTTTCTTCCATCCTGACTTACCGTTTGCCTTTCCCCTGTCCGTGTTATCATCGTCGGTTGAGAGCAAGCCAATGGACACTAATCCTGTTGGTCGCAGAATGCCGTTATCCAAGACCGACGGTAATGCTAGAAAGGCTGCCTTGTTGGAACTCGTCAACAAAAGGAGGGAGAAAGCGGGAAAGCAACTTGCTGAGAATGTGGCCTACAGCAGGTCAAAAGATACGTATGAGGCTGATTCTGACGAGGAAGGCCCAGAAGAGTCATCTCAAGGCTCACAGTCTTCTGGAGACTCAAGGGAAGACGTTACTGAAGACACAGGAGATTCGAATCTCCTGGTTGAAGGGCTGACATCATTGAAATTAGGCAAGGACAAAGCTCGTCCGCCTAGCTCATCGGGGAGTGCTGCAGCTGTATCGGCAGCTTCAAAGAGAGCAGTATCAAGAGGCGAGAGTGAAAACACCAGTGGATTCAAAAGTGCATCGCAGTCTTTTGATGCTTCAAAAGGACACGACGAAGATGAAGTGGAATCTGACTATTCTGAGATTGCCTCTGTACCTGTTGAACAGCAAACAAGCTCGGCTGATCTAATCCTTGGTGACGGAAAGTGTGTTGTTCCTGGAAGAATCGCGCGAGGATTGTACGAACACCAGCGGGAAGGCATAGAGTGGATGTGGGGTCTGCATGAGATGAAGCGAGGAGGAATTCTTGGTGACGACATGGGCTTGGGAAAGACCCGACAGGTACATCGTGGTTGTAATGAGTTTTTAACTGGTTGTTTTTTTTGCTGATTCTCTTGTATTAACGGTTGTTTTCAACCCTCGTGCAGATTGCCACCTTTATTGCTGGACTGTTGGAGGCCAAGCTTGCTACGCAGTTTCTACTCGTGGTCCCCGGTACACTGTTGCCTCAATGGAAACTGGAATTTTCGTCCGTCGGCATCAGCAACTGCAAAGAGTAGGTCACCTCATGCATTCTGCTTTGTAGCAGTAAATCTTCAGTGATTGAACGACCTCCCTGCTGCAGGTTCACGTCATCTATTTCCGTGCGGGAGAGGCCATTTTTCTTGGAAGCGTTTTTGGAGGTGAGGGACTTCGCAGGTTTTTCATTAGAATGTTTGTTGACGTCGGTGCTGACGATCAACTCGTGCGTTGCAGAAGGGAGGCGTTATGCTCACAACCTACGAGATGGTCCAAAATATTTCGCCACAAAGTGTGACTTGGGACTACTTGATCCTTGACGAGGTAAGTTTCCTATTTTCGCTCGCTCTTGCACTCGATTCAGGATAAATATTGAGAGCAATATTTCTATATATATTGTTCAGGGTCATCTTGCCAAGAACCCAAGCACGAAGCGTTTCCAAGTGCTTAAAACCGGGGTGCACATTCAGCTGAATGTGCATCAAAGGTTATCCCTTGACTGAGTGGGTTACGAGGTGTGCTTTCAACCCCTTCAAGTCGAAATTCGTTTCCCCCCTCCCCCGCAATTTCGTTTCCCCACGCCCCCGCAATTTCATTTCCCCCTCCCCGTCGAAATTCGTTTCCCCCCTCCCCCGCAATTTTGTTTCCCCCCTCCCCTGCAATTTCGTTTCCCCCCCCTCCCGCCAATCTGTTTCATCCCTCCCGCCATTCGGTTTCACCCACTCCCGCCATTTCACCCCCTCCCGCCACCTACGAAATGCCCGAAGCTCTAGCGGAATCATTTTTTTGTCGCCCCTCGTGAGCCAATCACTGTTTTTCTCCAAACCCCCTTCCCAACATCTCAAGCCGAACCGCGTTGAATGTGCACCCTGGTTTTAAAGCATTGAGATTTCACCATTGCATCATTATGACGGGAACTCCCATCCAAAATGAGCTCAAGGTCAGCTTTAAGTTTTGTCAAACACATTTGCTTGTTCCAGTTTGCTGCGTAAAACTGAAAATCGGGCATGTGCTGCAGGAATTGTGGGCTCTCTTTGATTTGTGCTGCTGTGGCTTACTGGGAGATTACAAGGAGTAAGTATTATTTTAATTTATTTCTTGCTGGTGTTTCACTGAGGTTTGAGTCTTCAGTAAATGAGATATCCGTGTTCTTGGTGTGTCTTAAGGTTTCGAGCCCAGTACGAAAAGCGCATTTTGGATGGTAGCCAGTCCAACTCATCAGGACACCAGAAGCGATGTGCAAATGAAGCCAGTGCTGTAAGTTTTGAATTGAGCATTTGGCTCCGTTACCTGATGTGATTAGTCTGATCTCGTGCACTCGCGTTTTCAGGCTCTTCGTGAGAAGATCAGACCACATTTTATGAGACGCATGAAGAAGGAAATCTTTCCAAGCCTTCTTGCAGGAGACAACTCATCCGTTAGCCGTCATGGTTCTGCTCTTCCCAGGTTGCCACAGAAGCATGACCTGATCGTCTGGTTGAAGCTCACAAACCGTCAGGTAAGACAGTCTTATCTGGCATATCTACATCAATTTTCACATCTGGCAAGGTGTTTACCCAACTTGCTTTCTGCATGGCAGATTCATATGTACGAGACCTTTCTAATGTCAGACGCTGTCCGGAACGTTCTGAACAAGACCTCGTCGCCATTGAATGCGATCACTGTAAGGACAGCATCCATATTTGACATCTTTTACCCAGTCTGCAGCATGCTGATGGCTTTTGGTGGTTTTTTGTTCCAGGTGCTGAAGAAAATATGTGATCATCCTTGCCTTCTCTCGGAGGCTGCTCTGGAAGAAGTAAAGGAAAGCATCGAGCGGGAGACCACTCAGAACGGAGAGGCTATTTCCGCCGCTGTGCAACAATTCCTTGACGATCCAAGCATCATGGCTGACCCTGGTGCCTCGTGCAAGATTAGGATGTTCAAAGAGCTTGTTGTGAGTCCTCTACCCTCCACCTCTGCAGTGATCACTGGCCATGTTTTTCTCTCTTTAACGCTTTCTTCAAATCTTTCAGGTCTCGCTGGTCAATGACGGACATCGAGTTCTAGTCTTCTCGCAGACAAAGATATTGCTGAACATGGCGGAGGTAAATATGCATGTTATGTATTTCTTGCTTAACCGCTGTGATGTTTCCATGGTCCATATGGCTTCAATTCGCTGTCCCACTTGGTCACATTCCTTGCCAGAGTACCATGCGTAAGCTGCGCATTGGTTATGTCCGGATTGATGGAGATACCAAGCCTGACATGCGAGAACGTCGGGTTCAGGTATATGTGAAGCCAGAATCAGTTTATTGGTGCTCTTTTGCAGTCTTCTTTACTTTTTTTTTTCCTTTCTTGGCAGGAGTTTCAACTTGGAGAAATTCCTGTCTTCATGCTGACCACGAAGGTTGGTGGCCTGGGACTCACACTTCATGCTGCAGACTGTGTCATCATCATGGACCCCGCTTGGAATCCGAGGTTAGTGTCTATGCGCTGTGTTCGGTGAGTTTATGGAAGAACGACTAATTGATGATTTTTCTCCTTGCAGCGTGGACAATCAAAGTGTTGACCGAGCCTATCGTCTTGGCCAAGCAAGGGATGTGGTGGTGTGTCGTCTGATTACTGCAGGAACCGTGGAGGAGAAAATTTACCGAAAGCAGGTATGGACGTGTGTGTGCTGCTTCTTCTGCACAGCTACCTGCATGCATTTAATGAGCTTGCCAACTTGATGCAAGATTCCTCAGTTTGTGCTGTTTTGGCCCCAGTTACTCTTCTTTTTTCATACCAATGCTTCATTATGTGTGCCACCAGCAATGCAGGTGTTTAAGGATAGTCTTATGCGGTCAGCAACATCTGACAAAAACAATCTTCGGTACTTCACCAACTCTGTAAGTTTCTTGGAATCTTGTTATTGTGTATGTCGTCGTGTATGTGTCAACTGACGAGTGTATGTTCTGTTACGTTCCTCCAGGAACTGGCAGACATGTTTAAAATGCCAGATAACGGATTTGGCTTTTCAGAAACCCAACAAAGGATGGAGGATCTTCACAAGGATCAGATAAAATTTTAAGCATGAATGAATGACAAGGTGATTTCTCTGTTCTCCAAAAATACCCTAATTAACATTGATTTTTCCGCATTTCAGGAAAAAGGACATGGTTCATCATTTGGACTTCATAAAGAAGCAGAAAGTTGTTGTTGGTATTTCTCACCATGACCTCTTGTTCTCGACGGAGGAGCCAGAACTGCTGGCAGGGAGCCCCACTCTCCCAGATGCAACGGCTATCCAGAGGCAAGTGACTGATACATAACTTGTGAATCTGGCAATCTCTGCATTTTGTGGCATCTGTGCCTACATCTTATATTTTTCTTTGTCATTTTGCACAGGCGTCCTTCAGGGGCCAACTCTTCCACTCGTTCCAGACAGCATGTCGCACCTGGTGGAGGTCAATGGAGGGGCGGAACAGGACATGCGTAAGAATTTCTCATTCTTGTTTTTTTCCGTTTTGACAAAAGAAAACAACTCGGGCATTTTCTAACTCTGGCATCCCCTTGTTACATCGCTGTTCACTGGATGTCCCTATCCCCTGCAGCCCTGGGGGGATTCTGGCTGCAGCAGGTGTGGTTGTTCCGGACAGTTACCAGGTGAACCGAGAGGCTGAGCAGCATCGCATGGCCCAAGCTCATGTGGCTAACCTGTCTGAGAAGCTTACAAGGCTGACGAAGATGGTCGACAACCCGGTAAGCTTTGCTCAGTTTTTTGCTCGACATCCATTTCTGCTTTGCCAGTATGGCCCTTTTTCCTGACCTCTGTTTTTTGCAGAATCTTACCCTGAGGGATGGTGGCGAGAACCTGAGGAAGCACGTTGAAGAACTGACTGAAGAGCTGGAGAGAGCCAAGGCACATGCGGACAAGTTGAAGATGAAGCAATCGAGCCTGCTCGATGAGAGCCAAGCTGGATTAGCTGTTGGTGCTGCTGAAGGTGGCAAGGATCTGTTGGCGTCAAAGCTTTCAAGTATGGGTTTGTGATTTCCAGCCTTCGTACAGTGACCGGTCCTGGTGCAGAGTCTTGCACTAGGGGATTCGACTCGTGGTAGTGACCTTTTTTGGTTCGCTGTGAAGGATGTAGTTAGGCTTTTCAACATACAAGACATCTACTTCAGCTGTTGGTACTTGCAGTTGTAGCATGGCATGCTGTTAAATCGATGTTCACTGGCTGCTCCTGTCCCCTGCAGCCCTAAAAGAAACTGCCCTGGCCACCAACAGACGCCATGACATCACCAAGCTATGCAGAAGAACCCAAATAACGGTTTATCGCTTTCAAATTTGTGAATTGTGAAAGCGAAGCAGGCTGTAACGCAATTTTGTGTCAAAGTATATGCATGTTATATGTGTGTAGGCTGTAGTGGGGTAGCCAATATGGGGTACAGCCCCTTTTAGGGTTTCATACTTGTACCCAACTCTTTCATAGTTCATCCATTCCTGCTGCTTGATTTTAACATGGTTTCAGAGCACTAGGTCCGTAGGACCGTTTATTTTTTTCGGGCCCACCTACCGTTGCGGTTACCGTGTTACCCCACGTGTTGTCCTGCCTGCCTGCCTTGCCTTGTGACATGCTGCGCTGCGCGCGCCGTCCTGCAGCCCTCGTACTGCCCACTGCTGCCCTAGGCCAGAGCGCCGCCCCTGCAGGCCCGTAAGGCTCACGCGCCGCGCCTGCAGACACGTCAGGCCTGCGCGCCGCCCCTGCAGGCCCGTTAGGCCAGGGCGCCGCCCCGCCAGTTCGCTGCCCCGCGCGTCGCGCCCGCAGCCCGCGCGCCGCGCTGCAGCCCCGCGCGTCGCGCCCACAGCCCGCGCGTCGCGCTGCTGCCCGCGCGTCGCGCTGCAGCGCCGCGCGTCGCGTTCGCTGCCCGCGCGTCGCGCTGCAGCGCCGTGCGTCGCGCTGCAGCCCTGCGCGCCGCGGCTGCCGTCCTCGCGCAGCCCGCGGCGACTTCGCGCGCCGCGTTTGCAGCTCGCGTGGCGCGCTGCAGCCCCGCGCGCCGCGGCTGCCCCTGGACGCCGCCGTCGCTCCTGCAGCAGCTGCCACGGAGCGCCCTGCCGCAGTCGCGGCCCCGCCCTGCAGCACCTGCCGCGGAGCCTCATGCAGCCGTCGCGACCCTGCCCTGCAGCAGCTGCCGTGGAGCCTTCTGCCGCCGTCACGTCCGCGCCCTGCAGCAGCTGTCGCAGACCTGCCCTTCCTCCGACGCGGTCCTGCTCTGCCGCAGCTGTCGCTGCCCCGCCGTCGCCGCCGTTGTGAGCCTGCCCTTCTCGCCACTGGTGAGCACTTACCTGCCTGCCTGCCTGCCTGCCGCGCCTGCCCTGCCTGCGCTACTACTACTGCTAGACTGCTGCTGCTGCTGCTGCTGCTGCTGCTGCTGCTGCTGCTGCTGCTGCTGCTGCTGCTACTGCTGCTACTACTGCTACTGGCGGTGGCCAGATGCAGCTCCAGCGACGTTCACGCGAGTCTCTCACGCCCCAGCAGCTTAGTGAGTGGTACGCTAGTTGGGGTTGTGGCGGTCGCCGTCGTAGCTGTCGCCCTGGAGCTGGTCAGTTGGGAGCGTCTGGCAGTGGCCAGCTGCAGCTGCAGCGGCGTCCACGCGAGATACTTACGTCCCAGCAGCTTCACGAGTGGTACGCTCAGAGTAGAGGGTCTTTGAGTACCGTTCGCTGCCCGTACGTCATTCGCACAGGTGATCGGGTCGGTCAGCCTTGCGGGACGCTTGGTCACACACAGTCCCGCTGCTTCGCCCGTCTGAGCGACGCCTGGCGTACCGAGATTGGCGACGAGGCTGAGCTCCCCTCCTGGCTGGAGCTGCTTGGACAGAGGGTAGATATCTTTGCTCTTGACTATGATGCTATTCTCACTGCCATGTATGCATTGCCTACTAGTGCTGACCGTGCCTGTTCCCTGTGCGTACCGCCTGACCCAGGTATAGAGCCTGCTGCTCTAGGTGCTAGTACGTCTCCTGCGCTAGGTGCTGGTGAGGCTGCTGCTCTAGGTGCTAGTGCGTCTCCTGCTCTAGGTACTGGTGAGGCTGCTGCTCCAGGTGCTGGTGAGTCTGCTCTCTCTGGTACTGCGCCTGCTGAGGCCGTGTACACCTTCACACTTGACTCAGGTGCTTCCCGCTCCTTCTTCCGCGACAGCACCACACTCACGCCGCTCCGTCGGCCGGTTGCAGTCTCCCTGGCAGACCCCTCTGGGGGTCCAGTCCTTGCGCACTCCTCCACGGTCCTGCCGTGTCCGGCGGTCCCGTCTGGCTCCCTGTCAGGTCTTCACCTCCCCTCGTTCTCTACGAACTTGGTGAGTGGAGCTGACCTACAGGATGTGTGGGTTGACCAATTCACCCCTGGAGGTCAGCGTGTGACACACTGTACGTGTTCCCGGACTGGTCGGCACCTGGCCACGTTCACCCGAGAGCCTGGCTCGAGTCTGTACACACTCACCACTGTGTCCCCTCAGGTAGCTGCGTCTGCGTCTGCGTTTGCGTCAGGTCAGCTAGCGGCCCCCTGCTCGTGTCGCGCTCTGTCGCACCAGACCCTCCTTTGGCACCACCGCCTTGGTCACCCCTCGGTGCAGCGCCTTCGTAGCATGCACAGCCGTTTCCTTGTCTCTGGACTTCCAGAGACTCTGCCTCCTCTACCACCCTCGCCTGCTCCTCCCTGTCTTCCCTGTGTCGAGGGGCGGCAGCGCGCCGCTCCTCACTCCTCCTCGTTCCCTCCCACAGAGGCTCCCCTGCAGACTCTCCACCTGGACGTGTGGGGCCCAGCCCGCGTCCGTGGACAGGGCCACGAGCGGTACTTCCTGCTGGACGTCGACGACTACACGCGTTACACCACGGTCTTCCCCTTGCGCAGCAAGGGGGAGGTTCCTGATGTTTTGATCCCCTGGATCCGCGCTACTCGTCTCTAGCTCCACGAGCGGTTCCAGTCGGACTTTCCTGTCCTGCGTCTGCACTCTGACAGAGGTGGTGAGTTCTCCTCAGACCTCTTGGCAGCCTACTGTGCGGAGCACGGCATTCGCCAGACGTTCACGCTTCCGGCCTCTCCGCAGCAGAATGGGGTTGCTGAGCGCCGCATTGGCTTAGTCATGGAGGTCGCTCGTACCTCCATGATCCATGCGGCTGCCCCCCATTTTCTGTGGCCGTTTGCGGTCCGGTACGCCGCGCATCAGCTCAACCTCTGGCCCCGTGTCTCCTTGCCGGAGACCTCGCCCACACTGCTGTGGACGGGGAAGGTTGGCGATGCGTCGCGTTTCCGGGCCTGGGGTGCTCGTGCCTTTGTCCGCGATACCACCGCGGACAAGCTCTCCGCCCGCGCTGTTCCCTGTGTCTTCCTTGGCTTTGTCCCTGACGCGCCTGGTTGGCAGTTTTACCACCCCACCTCGCGTCGTGTCTTCCCCTCTCAGGACGTCACGTTCGACGAGTCGGTTCCCTTTTACCGTCTCTTCCCCTACCGCACTGCCCCTCTCCCCCCCCGGCCGCTCTTCCTCGCTCCAGGTGCTCCCCAGGTAGACCCCCTCCCCGCTCCCGGTCCTGCTCCTTCAGGTGTGTCTCAGGTAGCCCTCCTCCCTTGACTGAGCCGGTTGAGGTCACTGGTGACTCAGGTCCTGCTGAGGGTGGTCCTACTCGGGTTGCTGCTTCTGGGGGTGCTGAGCCTGGGGGTGCGGAGCCTGGGGGTGCTGAGCCTGGGGGTGCGGAGCCTGGGGGTGCTGATCCTGGGGGTGCGGAGCCTGGAGGTGCGGAGCCTGGGGGTGCGGAGACTGGAGGTGCTGAGCCTGGGTGTGAGGAGTCTGGGGGTGCTGAGCCTAGGGGCGCTGAGGCGTCAGGTGAGCAGTCTCCCTGGGGCGACCGTCTCCGTAGTCGCTCCGCTGGTGCCTCGCCGCTGCACTCTCGTCGTCGACTCCCTCTCTCCCCACAGCAGCTGCTTGAGTGGTACGCTTTGCTCAGTTTTTTGCTCGACATCCATTTCTGCTTTGCCAGTATGGCCCTTTTTCCTGACCTCTGTTTTTTGCAGAATCTTACCCTGAGGGATGGTGGCGAGAACCTGAGGAAGCACGTTGAAGAACTGACTGAAGAGCTGGAGAGAGCCAAGGCACATGCGGACAAGTTGAAGATGAAGCAATCGAGCCTGCTCGATGAGAGCCAAGCTGGATTAGCTGTTGGTGCTGCTGAAGGTGGCAAGGATCTGTTGGCGTCAAAGCTTTCAAGTATGGGTTTGTGATTTCCAGCCTTCGTACAGTGACCGGTCCTGGTGCAGAGTCTTGCACTAGGGGATTCGACTCGTGGTAGTGACCTTTTTTGGTTCGCTGTGAAGGATGTAGTTAGGCTTTTCAACATACAAGACATCTACTTCAGCTGTTGGTACTTGCAGTTGTAGCATGGCATGCTGTTAAATCGATGTTCACTGGCTGTTCCTGTCCCCTGCAGCCCTAAAAGAAACTGCCCTGGCCACCAACAGACGCCATGACATCACCAAGCTATGCAGAAGAACCCAAATAACGGTTTATCGCTTTCAAATTTGTGAATTGTGAAAGCGAAGCAGGCTGTAACGCAATTTTGTGCATCGTCGAAGCGCGGTATTCGCCTTCTCTGAATATGTAATGTGGGTTGGGGTCGTTTTTCCCCCACCCAGGTCTCTCATTTGTACAATTGCTCAAGCTCAATTCCCACCCACCCTTCCCAGGCTAGTCCTCTTTGCAGAGTACCGTAATAGTCCTTAAACATCTTGTTTTGCTATTATATCAGTATTATTGCTATGAACCGTTGTACCGGTACTTGAGCCCATTGTAATGAGAACGATGCCAATTGCTACAGAAGCAAGCTTTCTCAATGTATTATTGGACACTCCGAGCTCATGATCTACTCTTCCTGCACACGGCTGATAACTTGCCGAACATATCCGTTGCATCTGTTAGAAGATGAGGCTCTGCACCTGTGCTAGCTGAGTCAAAAGCACCAAGACTAGCAGCCTCTACCCTAGCAACTCTGAGCACA